TATTACATAATGTTTAAGTATCTTTTCTGTTTCTTTTAAGTGTTTCTCACTGCTCTAACATTTAACATTATTCAACAATCCTTAGTGAATGTGGGTGAGGGACGAAAGGGGGTAAGGAGGTGGGGGAGACACAGTACATGGGTAAGGTTGCATCTGAATGGGATGGTAATGGGTAAGGTGGTGGGCACGAGACAGGTCAGCAAGTTGGGGTGAGTTGGTTAGGTTGTGAAAGTGTGTTGGGTCACAGAGGCGTCGTTGCCAGTGTTGAGCATGTGGGAAGTTCGGGTATCAGTTAAAGGTAGAGTTAGAGTTGGTTTTAATCCCTCTAACATTTTCTAAGCAATTGTTCAGATCAGAGAGTTGGAACCCCTCAAAGTTTCCAATTTGGATTTGGAGACATTTTTGGAAGGTTCCCAGCTGGTTGCTCTTTAGAAGTTTAAAGTTGCCATATGATCCCTGTGTGGTCAGGTGTGTTGAGATTTCAGCATGGTCCTTATATGCATCTCCAGGCCACACTGCTAGAATGGTTATCTCCATAGGCCAAAATGACTTAATTCATTTACTGGTTCAGGTATTTTAGATATACTACATTGGGAATGAGACCTAGCATACACAGCAATTTGTCCTGGAAGGTGCTTTGCAATCTTGTCTCTTGGAGAGCCATTCACTGTGTTTGATGGAACAAATACAGCATATTTATCTCACAGCATTGAAGACATCTTGCAGTTAGACAAATTACTCATTGCAGTAGATAGTAGGAACTGCTGATGCTGGAGAATCTGAGTTAACAAGGTGTAGAACTGGATGAACACAGCAGACCAAGCAGCATCAGAGGAGCAGGAAAGCTGACGTTTCGGGTCTAGACCCTTCTTCAGAAATGGGGGAGGGGAAGGGGATTCTGAACAAAATAGGGAGAGAGGGGAAGGCGGATAGAAGATGGATAAAGGAGAAGATAGGTGGAAAGGAGACAGACAGGTCAAAGAGGCGGGGTCGGAGCCAGTAAAGGTGAGTGTAGGTGCGGAGTTAGGGAGGGGATAGGTCGGTCCAGGGAGGACAGACAGGTCAAGGAGGCGGGATGAGGCTACTAGGTAGGAGATGGGGGTGGGGCTTGAGGTGGGAGGAGTGGATAGGTGGGAGGACAGGTTAGGGAGGCAGGGATGAGCTGGGCTGGTTTTGGGATGTGGTCAGGGGAGGGGAGATTTTGAAACTTGTGAAGTCCACATTGATACCATTGGGCTGCAGGGTTCCCAAGCGAAATATGAGATGCTGTTCCTGCAACCTTCAGGTGGCACAGCTTAGGCCCATGCGGGTACCCATGGCCATCCCCCTTGTCTGTAGGAAGTGGGAGGAATTGAAGGAGAAGTTGTTAAGGGTGAGGACGAGTTCAGCTAAGCAGATGAGGGTGTCAGTGGAGGGGGAATGGTCGGGCCTGCGGGACAGGAAGAAGCGGAGGGCCTTTAGGCCATCTGCATGGGCAATGCAAGTGTATAGGGACTGGACGTCCATGGTAAAGATGAGGTGTTGGGGACCGAATTGGAAGTTTTGGAGGAGGTGGAGGGCGTGGACGTAGGTGGGGAGCTCCTGGACCAAGGGGGAGAAAATGGAGTCGAGATAAGTGGAGATGAGTTCGGTGGGGCAGGAGCAGGAGCCTAATCCTCCCTCTACTGATCCCTTCTCCCACCTCCAACACACCCCCTCCTCCTGGACACCACCCCAAGGCCTCCTACCCTCCCTCGACCTCTTCATCTCCAACTGCCATCGAGACATCAATCGCCTCAACCTCTCCACCCCTCTCACCACTCCAACCTCTCCCCCACAGAACATGCAGCCCTCTGCTCCAACCCCAACGTCACTGTAAAACCCGTGGACAAGGAAGGAGCAGTTGTAGTATGGCGCACTGACCTCTACATCGACGACGCCAGATGCCGGTTCTCTGACACCTCCTCCTACCGCCTCCTTGATCATGACTCCAACTCCGCCCACCAAAACATCATCTCCCAGACCATCCACAACCTCATCACTACAGGTGCCCTCCCAACCACAGCCTCCAACCTCATCATTCCCCAACCCCGCACCACCCATTTCTATCTCCTTCACAAAATCCACAAACCTGACTGCCCTGGTCGACCCATTGTCTCCGGTTGCTCCTGCCCCACCAAACCCATCTCCACTTATCTCGACTCCATTTTCTCCCTCTTGGTCCAGGAACTCCCCACCTACGTCCGTGACACGACCCACGCCCTCCAACTCCTCCAAAACTTCCGATTCCCTGGTCCCCAACACCTCATCTTTACCATGGACGTCCAGTCCCTATTCACTTGCATTCCCCATGCAGATGGCCTAAAGGCCCTACGTTTCTTCCTGTCCCACAGGCCCGACCAGTCCCCCTCCACTGACACCCTCATCCGCTTAGCTGAACTCGTCCTCACCCTCAACAACTTCTCCTTCAATTCCTCCCACTACCTACAGACAAAGGGGGTGGCCATGGGTACCCACATGGGCCCAAGCTATGCCTGCTTCTTTGCAGGATACATGGAACAATCCCTCTTCCGTAGCTCCACTGGCCCTATCACCCACCTTTTCCTCCGTTACATCAATGACTGTATCGGCGCCGCCTCGTGCTCCCATGAGGAGCTCGAACAGTTCATCCACTTCACTAAACACCTTCCATTTCACCTGGACCATCTCCGATACCTCTCTCCCCTTCCTGGACCTCTCTGTTTCCATCTCTGGCAACCACCTGGAAACCAATATCCATTTCAAGCCTACCGACTCCCACAGCTACCTGGAATACACCTCCTCTCACCCACCCTCCTGCAAAAAAGCCATCCCCTATTCCCAATTCCTTCGCCTCTGCCGCATCTGGTCCCGAGATGAGGCATTCCGCTCCCAGACATCCCAGATGTCCTCGTTTTTCAAGGACCGCAACTTCCCCTCCACAGTGGTCGAAAACGCCCTCGACCATGTCTCTCGCATTTCCCGCAACTCATCCCTCACACCCCCTCCCCGCAATAACAACCAAAACAGAATCCCCCTCTCTCTCACGTACAAACCCACCAAACTCCGGATCCAACGCATCATCCTCCGACACTTTTGCCATCTGCAATCTGACCCCACTACCAAAGACGTTTTTCCCTCCCCGCCCTTATCTGCTTTCTGGAGGGACCTCCCTTGTCCACTCCACATTCCCCACCAGCTCCACCACCCCCGGCACTTTTCCCTGCAACCGCAGCAAGTGCTACACCTGCCCCCACACCTCCCCGCTCCACCCCATCCCAGGCCCTAACAACACCTTCCACATCAAACAGATGTTCACCTGCACATCTACTAATGTAGTATACTGTATCCGCTGTTCCCGTTGTGGCCTCCTGTACATCGGGGAAACCAAGTCGAGGCTTGGGGACCGCTTTGTGGGACACTTACGCTCGGTTCGCAACAAACAACTTCACCTCCCAGTCACGAACCATTTCAACTCCCCCTCCCACTCCTTGGATGACATGTCCATCCTGGGCCTCTTGCAGTGCCACAACGATGCCACCCGAAGGTTGCAGGAACAGCATTTCATATTCCGCTTGGGAACCCTGCAGCCCAATGGTATCAATGTGGACTTCACAAGCTTCAAAATCTCCCCTCCCCCGACCGCATCCCAAAACCGGCCCAGCTCATCCCCACCTCCCGAACCTGTCCTCCCACCTATCAACTCCTCCCACCTCAAGCCCCACCCCCATCTCCTACCTACGAGCCTTATCTGCCTCCTTGACCTGTCCGTCCTCCCTGGACCGACCTATCCCCTCCCTAACTCCCCACCTATACTCACCTTTAAGAACAAAGAACAAAGAAAATTACAGCACATGAACAGACCCTCCAAGCCTGTGCTGATCCAGATCCTGTATCTGAGCCTGTTACCTATTTTCCAAGGATCTGTATCCCTCTGCTCCCTGCCCATTCACGTATCTGTCTAGATACATCTTAAATGACACTATCGTGCCCGCCTCTACCACCTCCGCTGGCAACGCATTCCTGGCACCCACCACCTTCTGTGTAAAGAACTTTTCATGCATATCTCCCTTAAACTTTTCCCCTCTCACCTTGAAATCGTGTCCCCTAGTAACTGAGTCCCCCACTCTGAGGGGGAGAAAGCTTCTTGCTATCCACCCTGTCTATACCTCTCATGATTTTGTAGACCTCAATCAGGTCCCCCCTCAACCTCCATCTTTCTAATGTAAATAATCCTAATCTACTCAACCTCTCTTCATAGCTAGCGCCCTCCTTACCAGGCAACATCCTGGTAAACCTCCTCTGCACCCTCTCCAAAGCATCCACATCCTTTTGTTAATGTGGCGACCAGAACTGTACGCAGTGTTCCAAATGTGGTCGCACCAAAGTCCTACACACCTGTAACATGACCTGCCAACTCTTGTACTCAATACCCCATCCGATGAATGAAAGCATGCCATATGCCTTCTTGACCACTCTATCCACCTGCGTTGCCACCTTCAGGGTACGATGGACCTGAACACCCAGATCTCTCTGTGTATCAATTTTCCCCCTGGCTTTTCCATTTACAGTATAGCTCACTCTTGAATTGGATCTTCCAAAATGCATCACCTCGCATTTGCCTGGATTGAACTCCATCTGCCATTTCTCCACCCAACTCTCCAATCTATCCATATTCTGCTGCATTCTCTGACAGTCCCCTTCACTATCTGCTACTCCACCAATTACTGGCTCCAACCCCTGTCTGTCTCCTCTCCACCTATCTTCTCCATTATCCATCTTCTATCCACCTCCCCCCTCTCCCTGTTTATTTCAGAATCCCCATCCCCTCCCCCATTTCTGAAGAAGGGTCTAGGCCTGAAACGTCAGCTTTCCTGCTCCTCTGATGCTGCTTGGTCTGCTGTGTTAATCCAGCTCTACACCTTGTTATCTCTTACTCATTGCAGTACTGCTCCTACCAAAGGTACCTGCTCATTTGTGACTTCCACCACTTGCAGACCCACCTGCTCTTCATATGTGGCCTTATAGTTCTCGAGTCTTTTTAAGAGCGTTTCATGTTCCTCGTCAAACTCTGCAATCTTTTTACGGTAATACTCAAGTAGCTCCCGGGAAGGACGAAGAAAAGCTAGGCGCTCATTTACTGATGGAATTGGCGGAGAGCCATCTGTTTTAGGATCCTGGCGTTTTCCTGCAGAAGCTGAATTACGGCCCATTGCTGATCTACAAGTCAAAAAGAAAACATTTCTCAGAATGGTTCTTACTTATTAATCCTATCGTAAATGTGCTCACAAAAATGGTGCAAACTAGATAGTTAATAGGAATGGTACTCTATGCTGCCACAGTATGATATTCAGCCTTACAACATTAGGGACCTCTGGTTAACTTTTTTAAAAATACTCCACAAGCATACAATAACTTTTCAAGAACATTGGTGAAGGACAGCACAGAGGCTGATTGAGACTTGTGGCCCAATGCTGGAGACATGGTGTTTGTTCTCAAACTCATGGGGCACGTTTGGTAAGGGGGTAACACCTAACTCTGTGGAGACGATATTTACCCACAGTTTAGGATTAGAGGAGGGTTTTTTTTGCCACTGGACCACGACAGCTGGTCCCAGTGGGGGACTGCCTTTTCATCCCTCTCGGACAGTTCTGGTTAGTAGTGCCCTGGCCTCAGGCTGAGGGAGGGATTACTTGCCATATAACCATGGTCTCAGACTGAAGAAAGGGGTTTATGCCTTCATGCAGGGCTGAGTGAGGAGCTTATTTACACTGTAGCGTTGAGGGCGGGGCTATTTTGCCTGGTCCGGGCTGGGGAGGATGAGGTTATTGGAGTCCAGGCTGGGCTAAGGGAAGGGAGATTATTTACCCCACACCCCCCACCACAGATCAAGGGAGGAGGGGTATGCAGGATTACGAGGATGAGGAAGGGTACTGCCTGACGGGGAGGGGGATATCCCTGGGCACGCAGGTGTGTTCTCGGCGGTAAAGGGGAGGACTCTGGGGCGGCGGGGGTGGGGTAATCCTTGACGAGGTTGGGTATTCTCGGGGATGTTGGAGACGGGTATTCCCGGATGGGGGAAGTATTTTCCGGGATGAAAGGGGTTATGCCGTGACACAGAAGCTGCTGTGGGAACGATGACAATATTCTGAGTGGAGGAGGGGCGGTATTATTAGGGATGAGGGTAAATAGCTCCGACGTTGTGGGGATGAAGGGAGGTGCTAGTTAGAGATTTACCCGCTCCTGCGCGCGCCGCCAACGTCCATCCGGGTCTCCTTCAACAACAACTGACATCGGCACCTCGACCGCGTTCAACTTCGATTGGACCGTCTGGGTTTTCATTAACCAATCAGAAAGAGAGAGAGAAAAAAAACAATCGGAGGGAGATACACGCGCAAAGTCATAGAATCCCTATACAGTGTGGAAGCAGGCTATTCGTCCCATCGAGTCCACATTGACCCTCCGAAGAGCATCCAACCCTACCCCTGTAACCGTGCATTTCCCATGGCTAAGCTACCTCGCCTGCACATCACTGGGCACTATGGGCAATTTTGCATGGCCAATCCACACTAACCTGCGCATCTTTGGACCGTGGGAGGAAACTGGAACAGCCAGGGGAAACCCACGCAGACACGGGGAGAATGTGCAAACCGAGGTCCCCGGCACTGAGAGGCAGCAGTGCAACCACAGAACCATGTTCAGAGAGAGCTACAGAGAAAGAAACTCACAGACAGAAAAAAGATCTCAGTCCAAGAGAGGAAGAAAATCTCGGTCAGAGAGAGGGGCAGAATCTCAGTCAGAGAGAGAGGGACAAAGGAAAAATCCCAAGCACAGACAGAAAGAAAAAATCAAAACTGAACAGACATAGAGAAACCCACGCAGGGACAGAGAGCAAAAAACTGAGAGAGAGAGAGAAAAACTCAGAGAGAGAAAGCCAGTCAGACTGAGACAGAAAGAGGGAATTCAGTCAGAAAGAGAGTGCGAGACAGAGGAAAAGAAGCCATGCAGATAGAGAGAAAAACCTTTGCAAAGAGAGAAAAAAAGGCATCCAGAGAGCGAGAAATGGACTCAGAGAGAGAAAGAAACTCAGTCAGAGACAGGGAGAGAGAGAGAGTGACAGAAGAAAGAAAGACCCCTGCAGAGAGAGATAGAAAAACCCACGCAGGGATGGACAGCAAAAAAACACAGCCAGAGACAGACACACACGGAAAGAAGGAACTCAAGTCAGAGAGAGAGAGAAACTCAAACAGAGAGAAACACAGTCACACAGAGAGAATCCCATTCAGTGGGAAAGGGAGAGGAACCCATTTACTGAGAAAGAAACACAGTCATAGAGAGAGAAAAGCTCAGTCAGAGAGAAAGAGGGAGGGAAACCTAGCCAGGGAGAGAAAGAGAAAGAAGCCCAATCAGAGAGAGGGACAGAATCAGAAAACGAGTCAGAAAAAGGAATGGAATCAGTCAAAAAGAGAGGAAAAAAACCCATGCAGAGGGACAGAGAAAAACTTGTGCAGAAAAAAAATAAACCAATGTAGATAGAGAAGGAAAAAAACCCATCCAGAGAGAGAGAGAGAAAAGCAGTTTGAGAGAGAAAGTCAATCAGAAAGAGAAAGAGAGAGAAGCTGTGTCACACAGACAGGATCCCATTCAGAGGGAGAGAAACCCAGTCACAGAGAGAGAATCCTGGTCAGAGAGAGAGAAAAAACTCAGTTGGAGGGAGAGAGAAAGAGAAAGCCATATGGACAAAAAAACCCATGCAGAGAGAGAAAAACCATGCAGAGAGAGATTGAAAACCCTATGCAGAGAGAGAGAGGGGTGAAACCCAATCAGAAAGAGAGAAAAAGGTATTCAGAGAGGGAAACAACCAACATTTACTATAAACCCCCAGACTCCCATAGCTACCGAGACTACACCTCCTCTCACGCTGCATTCTGCAAAAACTCCATTCTGTTTTCCCAACTCCTCCCTCTCCATCGCATCTGCTATGACAAGGAGACGTTCCACTCCCAAGCATCCCAGATGTTTGCCTTTTTCAAACAACACTCTCTCCCCACCCACCCCTGTCATCCAGACAGCCCTACACCACACCTCCTCCATTCCCCACTCCACAGCTCTTAACCACCCTCCCACTAAAGATAAGAAAGATAGGGTCCCCCCTTGTCCTCATTTTCCACCGTGACCAGCCTCTGCATTCAATATATCATCCTCAAACACTTCTGCCAATTCCAATCAGTCCCCACGACCCGGAACATCTTCCACTCCCCACCCCTCCCTGCCTTCCTCAAGGACCATTCCCTTCGCCACTCCTTAGTTTGTGCCACACCACCCACCAACCACTCCAACCCGCCTGGTACCTTCCCCTGTAACAATAAAAGATGCAACACCTGCCCACACACCACCTCCCTCACCTCCATCCAGGGCCCTAAACAGTCATTCCAAGTAAGACAGAGCTTCATCTGCATCTCCTCCAATGTAGTCTATTGCATCCAGTGCTCCCGATGTGGTCTTCTCTACGTCAGTGAGACCAAACATAGATTAGGTGACTGTTTCGCTGAGCATCTTCGCCTGGCCCATAACAGCCAACCTAACCTCCCGGTTACCGCCCATTCCGACTCCCCGCCCCACTCCCCCCCAACATGTCCATCCTCGGCCTCTTCCAGTGTCAGTGACTCGGAACACAAATTTGAAGAATAATACCTTATCTTCCACCTGGACACCCTACAGCCTGGAGGACTCAACATGGAGTTCCCCAATTTCAAATAACCTTCCCACCCATCCCCCGGCTCCTCTTCCAGCCCCACCTCCTCCCTTCCATTCCACCTTCTGACCCTCCCTTCCAGCCATCAACTGGAATCACCCGTCCCATTGACCAACCAAGTCGTACCTACTACGAGTGTCCACCTATCACCACCATTCTGCCTTCACCCCTCCACCCTTCTTTATTTGCAGCTCCCCCTAGCACCACATCCAGTCCTGAAGAAGGGTAATACCTGAAACGTTAACTGCTCCTTTCCACCACATGCTGCCTGGCTTGCTGTGTTCTTCCAGCCTTCTGTTTGTCTACCTCTCATTCAGAGAGAGAAGTCCAGTCAGAGAGAGAAAGAAACCCAGTCAGAAAGAGGAAGAGAGAAATGCAATCAGAGAGAGAGGAAATTTCAATCAAAGAGAGACAGAAACTGAGTCAGACAGAGAAACTCAGTCAGAGACAGACAGAAAAACACATGCAGAGAGAAATAGAGAACAACACAGTTGGAGAAAGAGAAACCCGGTCACAGGGACAGAATCCCATTCAGAGAGAGAGATAGAGAATCATGTTTCAAGACAGAGAAAAACACTCAGTCGCATGGAAGAGAAACATAGTCAGGGGGATAAAGAGACCCAGTCAGAAAGAGGGAGAGAATGAGCAAACCAGTCAGAATGAGACAGAGAGAGAGATAAACACAGTCTGAGAGAGAGAGATTGAGACAGAAAAACAGAGAGAGACATAGAAATTGAGAGACAGAGAAACTGAGTCAGAGAGAGAGAAAATCTCAATTAGTGAGCGTGAAACTGAATCAGAGAGAGAGAGAAAAAGCTAGTCACAGATAGAGAATCCCATTCAGAGGCAGAGGAAGACAAACCCGATCAGAGAGATAGAAAGAGAAACTTAATCACGGAGAAAGGAACAGAAAGAGAAAACTAGAGAGAGAGAGAGACAGAAAAACGCAGTCAGAGAGAAATACAATCAGAGAGAGAAAATCTCAGTCTGAGAGAGTCAGAGAATCCCAGCCAGAGAGATAGAGAAGAATGCAGTCAGAGGAAAGAGAAATGCAGTCAGAGAGAAACACAGAGACAGAGAAAATCTTAGTCCAAAAGAGTCAGTGGATCTCAGTCAGAGACAGGGAGAAAGCCAGTCACAGAGAGAGAATTCCATTCATAGGGAGAGGGAGAGAAAAAAGTTAGAAAGACAGAGAAACTCAGTCAGAGAGGGAGAGAGAGAGAAACTCAATGAGAGAGACAGAGATAAACTGAGTCAGAGAGAGAGTCTCAATCAGAGGGAGTCAGAGAAAGAGAAAAAAAAGTCATCAGAGAGAGATAAACTCAATCAGAGAGAGAGAGAAATTCTCAGTCAGTCAGAAAGAGCTAGAGAAACTCACTTAGTCATCTGCAACCTAACCTCCTTGGTCTTATAATCTATATCTCAACTGATAAAGGAAAGCATCCCGTATACCTTCTCAACCACTGTATTAACCTGAATTGCCATCTTCAGGACCAGCATTTCAAGATCTCTCTGTTCCTCTGAGCTTCCCAGTGTCCTGCCATTCACTGAGTACTCCTTTGTCTTGTTACTTCTTCCAAGGTACATCACCTCACACATACCAAGGCTAAATTCCATCTGCCACTGATCTGCCCACCCAACCAATCCATATATATCCTCCTGTAACTTAAAGTCTTCCTCTTCACTGTCAACCATCTGGCCAGTCTTCCACAAACTCTCACCACCCCCGGCCTCTGATAATCTCATGAATCCTGCAATCCCAGACATCAGTCTGCTAAACCTTTGTTGCACTCCCTCCATTAATTATAATAGACAAAGTAGGAAAGCCTTAGAGGGGGCAGAATTCTTAACATGTGACTAGGAGAGCTTTTTAACCCACCACATTGAAATTCCTACATAAGCGGGGCAATGCTGGACCTAATTTTAATGAATGAAACTGGGCAAGTGGTAGAACATTATGGTGACAGTGACCACATTTCAGTACAATTTAAGATGATTATAGATAAGGGCAAAGATGGACTGGAAATAATGTTTCTGAATTGAGGAAGGTTGAGTTTAATAAGGTAAGACAGGATCTGTTCAAAGTGGATTTGAACCAGTTATTTGCAAGACGATTCACATCAGAGCAGTGGGAGACATTCAAAAGGCTATTAGTGAGTCTGCAAGGTCAACATAGTCCCATAAAGCTGAAAGATGGGACCAACAAGTGCAGAGAATTCGATGTCAAGGGATGTACAAAGATTGGTTAAGAAATAAGGGAAAGTGAACTGATTATAACAAGATCAGCCAGGTGGACCTCATAGAGTGTGAGTTCCCTTATTGGGACTATTAATCTGGTCCAATCAGGGAGCCCTGGCTGACAGATAAAAACAGGTGTGTCTGACATTCTGTTCACTCTGAAAGCTGGGTTTGAGGGAGCTAGAGCAGTGTCAAGGATGCTCCATGTGTAAATAAAGGTTGATGTGGTGATGGGATACCAGCCTTTATGGAGTTATTTTGGTGGTGATGAGAGCAAAGCATGTCCTGAAGAAACTTGCTTGCAGCAGTCAAATTTGATTTGGAGTTTCAGTTGCTT